TGCAAAACGTGAAAGAAGTCGCAGGCAGCGCAGGGAAGGGTCGCTCGGTTCCTGGGCTGAGGTGTGCACACCAAACTGGAAATATGTAATTCAGGTCGTTCGAAACTGCCTAGTCTGAGCAGCTAGAGCGACAGCCATAGCATAGAACATCTAGCATTCTACCCCATTCCAGCGCATGGCGGAAAATTCCTCCTTAGGACGTTAGGACCATGCCTTCATTCTTCCAATCCGTCTCTAAAGCGCCCCGCGGTTCTAGGTCACGTTTCCACTCGACATAGCTAGCCGGGGCCATGGTTGCACATATGCCCGTCGTCGCCCTGGTTTCACTTCCACACCGCCCACCGCACCAATGTCGCCTATCTTCATAGCCGCGACGTCCTCTGCGTTTCTCAGCAACATCCGCGGCCTGAAGCATCTGTGCGTCTTCTGCTCTTGCCGTCTCTCTTGCACCATTTGCAATCTCCACTGCAATCTCCACTGCCCCAGCCCCCCCGTTTCACCGTCTGCAGAACCCCAAGTGTCCCTTGTGTCATGTGTGTGTGCCCCCCCTTCCCACCCACCCCAACTCCGTCCCCGCACCATTCTGCCACGGCCGTGTGTCAGCATGCTGGATTACAACGAGTTCACAGGGGAGATACCCGACTTTCTCAGCGATCTCACCAACCTAGAGGCGCTGTGAGTTCATACCTCAGGGCGGGTAAAGCCAGATGGTGTGGAGGCAGGGGCAGGGGAGGAGTAGAGAGAGGACAGGGACAGGGACGGAGAAAGGGGAGAGAAGGAAACGTGGGGAAAGGGTGGAAAAAGTAGGCGATGGGGTGGGGAGGCGAGATAACTTGCCATGCTCCGTTATTCGCGGCTCACTTGCCACTCGCCCTGTGTGCGTACAGCGCCCAGTGAGGACCGTTTGCTGGGCTTTAGTCAGGCAACCACATTCCAGTTCCCGCCTCGTGCTGAGAATGTGGAGTGGCTGATGTCCAGACCCTAGGCTCTGGTTCTGGTATAACCCCACCCACTGGGTGAAAACGAGGGTGTTATTCCTGGCGCAGCAGATGCCCTTGAACACTTACTGTAAGCTCGTAGGCAAAACAGTGCATCGGCAAATCTTGATTATTTCCAATCCGTCATTTGCCCTTTTCCAACTCCTCGCGTAATCACACTCACCTTCGCCCACTTCGACCTCCTGCATGCCCCCTCCCTCTTCATCATCTTTCACCTCCCTCCAATTCTCCCCCCTTCAACCACTCTCCCATTCGCCCACTCACCATTCCCTCACCCTCCCACACTTGCGCATCCGGCTCCGTAGATATTTGGGGGGCAACAAGCTGAGTGGAACTATCCCGTCATCGCTGGGCCACTGTGCTCGTCTCCATGAGCTGTAAGCACCATGAATGCACGCATAAGGGCATGGGTCGTCTCCTTTTCTGGGTTCTTGCATGCCTTAATGCACCCCTTGGCCCCTCACAAGCCCTTCTCTGAGTTCCTCCACGCCTCCTTGCTTGTGCTCGTATTCCTCATACTCTGCTGCTGACATCCCTCTCTCTGCCTCTCTTCACTATCCACTTCACTCCAAATCCTTTTGGCTGGGAGTGTGCATATGAATGACCCTACTCGCACTACCTGTATCGCAACAAGAGAACATGCTCTCTTAGTCTCCTACCCCGCCGCACGTCCCCTTAGTTTTCTCCTCAGCTGCACGACGCTGTCGTCCCCCACACCTATAACCTCCGCACAGGGACGTGAGTCGCAACAGCCTCACGGGAAACATCCCTGAAACCCTTGGCAACCTGCGTGAACTGCGCTATTTGTGAGCACCCATGCTCTACTGTACTGGGGGAGGGGAGTGAAGAGGGTTTGGGAGTGATGGTAAGCCAGGCATGCGACAAAAATGATGGCTTACCTCTCCTGTCTTGCAATCATTTCCGTTGCATCACGTGTCTTGTGATGGTAAGCCAAGAAAGGCGCAGAGTAATGGGGGAATGTTGTTGCTTTGATGGGCTTGAGGGGGAGGTTGGGTCGTATAGGGAATGCTTGTGTGGCCAGTGTAGGTGATAGAGATGCCAATACCAGAAGAGTGCCCTCCAGATAACTCCACTAGATTCTTGTGCCCTCGTCACCTCATTGGAGCAGAGAAGTGACTCACTGTCGTCTCTCAATCGCTTCTGCACACTACATATTTGTGCCCTTCACAGAAGTTCCCTGTGTTTTGATGTGTTATGCTTGCTGTTCAAAATGGTATTGCAACGTAAAGCAGAGAGAATATTCGACCTCCGCATGCAGGAGCATGTCTCAGAACACGTTGAGTGGTCTGCTGCCCTCAGAGCTGTCTTCACTGCAGCACCTGGAGTTATGGTGAGGGTCGTGTCGTGTGATTTTTGAATGTCCGGTGAGGGTCGTTGGATTGTTGAATGTCCGGTGAGGGTCGTATCTTGAGAAGGTCTTGATCGCACGCACCTATCCGCTGCTTCTAATCCGCTGCTCACATGGATTGAAATTCTGGTTCGGGGGTCAATACAAGGCGGTCCTGAAGGTGACATGAGCCACTGGTGATGGTGCCACTGGTGCTGTCTGGCGCATCAATGCTGACTGTCATTCACCTGTCATGGCGACCTTTTGTGCTCATTGCTGCAAGGTAGGACCCTCAGAAAGTTATTGACTCAGGGTTCGGTACCTCTCTAGTGTCCAATCATTGCCCAACCTGTTCTCTGCCATCGTCTCTTTGTTCAAATGCCAGGGACATGAGCCAAAACCAGCTGGGAGTGGAGGTGCCTGACTGGATTGGCAGCATGACGACCTTGAAACACATGTGCGTACCACCACCGTTTTTCCTTTGCACACAGTGTGTTGGAGTGCAGTGCAGAGTGGTGGAGTCACGGAGACTGCTACTTCGTTTGGTGTGCAAGGGAGAGTGAGGATAGGAGGAATGCAACTGTATGGGCTTGAGAAGCTGGCATGGTGAGGGGGGGGCGTGTTTTGAAAAGTTGCAGCCTCGGCTCTTCCACCCAAATACCTATCCTCCCCATTCCCCTCCCTGCTTTTGTTTCCAAGTACCTGCTTCCTTTCCTCTACTGCACCACCTTCGCTCTCATGCTGCGTCCTACTCACTTTGCTCCACCTCACTCTCTTGTTTTCTTTCCTTACCCTGCTCCATACCCACAATCTCTCAGCGCCTTCCAATACAACTTGCTGTCAGGAGCTATTCCCGACTCATTCGGAGATTTGACTGGCCTGAATTCACTGTAAGAAAGCATATGTTGGGGTATCATAAGCTGCCTAAGAAACGAGCCTAGTCACTGCAGCAATTGCGAGTCTTGCATGGTCGGCATGACTCTTCCTCAACAAGTTCCAAGTGTCAGCTGCAGAGAAGCAAGAGAAGCACCCTCAAGCTGCCATGGCCAGGCTGGGCTGACAGTTGGTTGGAAGAACGCTTGTGATCCTTGGAAAAGACAGCACCATGGCACTGGGGCCGTTTCTCACGACAGGCTTCTTTCCCATCCCATGCCAATGCGAGCCATCTCATGTTACAACGTTGCAGGTTTTTGGATGCAAACTGGCTGTACGGCACCATTCCTGCCTCCCTGGTCAACCTCAACCAACTCAGTAACCTGTGCGCCCAAGCTCGCTCTTGTTTGCTCTCCAATGTTGTGTCTGCTTTTCCTTACTCATAAACAGAGAACGAGTAACCAGGTTTTAAGACTAGACAGGCTCATAAACAGAGAATGGGTTATTGGAAAATCACGTATGATTCTGTCAGTGTGGTCAAGCCTTCCAAAGAAACATATAAAGGAGGAGCAGTCCCATCATTACCCATCCCCATCATTAACCCTGATCTGGCAATCCATTCAGAATCTTGTCTAATAACCTCATCGCGGGATCGATCCCTGCAGCATTCAGCACACTGACTCGCCTCGTGTACCTGTAAGCACGCCCTATCCATGCACCTCCACAATCTCGTCTCACACAGCACCTTCCTTTGGGACTCGCTGACTGAATGGCAAGAGGGCGTGCTACTTCCAGGCTCGTGTGCCTGCAATCTTCCTTGTCACACCTGTACGCCGGGCCCATGGAGTGCATTCTTATATGGGAGCCTCCAATTCCTCTATTTCTCCCTACTCCCGTGCATCCTTCATGTCCTGTTAAAGGAATGGCTTCACCATGCTGCACCGCACACTCCCTCTTCCCCAGTTGACCTCACCCCCTCTCCACTATACCCTTCCCATCGTGTGTCGCTGATGCTCCCCTCCTGCCCTCCATATCTCGCTCCATGCTGTCTGTGCGCGTTGGCGCAGCATTGTGGACGGCAACCAGCTGGTGGGGCAGCTGCCGTCACTGAAGCGCATGGCAGCGCTCAAGGAAGTGGCTGCACGAGGCAACTTCATCACGTCTGTAGCAGAGACACCTCCCGCATGCCCCCCATATCGGCTGCTGCTGGAAACAAACTGCTTTGCATTCAACCTCACCATCTGTGGCACCCAGCAAGTCCAGAGGGAAGCTGGGTGGTGCAAGTGGTTCTGTGGGAACGAGCCCTTGAGCCCACCGTGTGGCGGCCATGGATTCTGCTTCTTGCTGCCTGGGCTTACATCTGGTCCCACCTGCGCTTGCGATTATGGTTACACGTACACCGGTGAAACTACCGCCACCTGCACCCCGGAAGGTAAGGCAAGGAGGCTACCCTTTTTTTTCTTAACAGAGGTGCTTTCTATTTATTCTCTGCTTGTCAACAATTTTGGTCCTGAAAGGCTAATATAACCGCTGTTGCTACTAACCATGTATCGATACGGCCTCGTGCCGTCACTGCCACCATACGTTTCTCATGCACCATCCCACACTACCCATTGCTTTAGCCTCACGCACCCTGCACCCCTTCAATACCCATGCACCCATACGCACCCATGCCACTTCACTTCGCCACAATCGTTCCTACCCATCTCATGTCAACGTGAGCATCCCTCTTATCTTCAGGGCCATACATCCCTTCCAGCCTCACCTCCTACGAAGACCCGATGAATATTTTTCAGTCGGCCTTCTCTGCTCCCAACGGCTCCATCTTCCTCACCTCAACGCCATCCATTGCACCATGGGGGGCGGCATTCACACCGCAACCCATCGCCCTCTTCCTCTCCACCAGCAAAAAGCAGCCCTGCGACCAGCCCATTGCCTTTTCTGTCTCGTTCGCGTTTCGAATGACACCTGCTGCTCCTACCTCTGGTAGTGCTGCTGCAGGCGCAGGCAGCAGCACAACAGGCGAGGGCCTGGCGTTTGTGGTCACTGCGGCGGCACCCCAGGGGGCTGCAGCGGGGGTGGGGCTGGGAGGGGTGGGGAAGCGGAGTGTGGCGGTGGAGTTTGACTCGGTGCTGAGTGTGAAGCACAGCGACCCCAACGACAACCACGTGGGCGTCAATGTGGGCGGCTCACCTGTGTCCCTCGCCTCTGCCACGGCCCCTCTCATCCTCAACGACGGCCACACCAAGCACGCCTGGATCCACTACGACCCCACCAGCGGCGGCACTCTCCGAGTCTTCCTCTCAGCCTCCAGACAGCAACCATCCAAGGCTGTGCTGACGGCGAGAGTGTCTCTGTGCAGCGCGGTCAAGCCCACCGTAGGTGGTGGCTCCTTCCTCTTCGGATTTTTGGCAGCCTCTGCAAACAACACTCAGAGTCATGACATCCTCTCATGGAAGATTGTCACTGGTGAGTGCATCATGAGACATGTGCATCATCAGACATGTGCATCATCAGACAGGTGCATCATCAGACATGTGCATCATCAGACATGTGCATCATCAGACATGTGCATCATCAGACATGTGCATCATCATCATCAGACATGTGCATCATCAGACATGCATCATAAGACATGTGCATTATCACGGCTATGCATTGGAAATGTCATGCTGCTGCGTGGTCGTTCCCTGCTCTTTCCTGCACATTCGGTCAAGCTTTGTGCTTCCACGTGTGCCCATGTGTGCGTGTATGCATGGGTGGGTGTGTGCGTGCGTCCGTGCGTGTACGCATGTGTGCGTGCGCGCGCACGCGTGTGTGTGTGTGTGTATGTGTGTGTGTGTGTATGTATGTGTGTGTGTCCGGGTCCGCGTGTGTGTGTGTGTGTGTGTGTGTGCTCACGTGAGTGTGTGTGTGTGTTTGTGTGTGTGTGTGCGCGTGTTTGTGTGTCTGTGCATGCGTGCATGTGTGTGCATGTTCATAAGTGCAGGCAAACTTCCTGTAGCGGACTGGCTGAATGAAGCCCCTGGTAAGCATTACCAGCCAGTGCTTTTCCTCGCATGTTCACAATCCTTATGTCAATTCATCCATGACTTACGCACGCCTTTGGCCGTACACCCCCCTTAGCAATCTCAAGGGGTTATTCAATCCATGCATGCCTTTGGCCGTACACTCCCCTTAGCAATCTCCATTCGTCTCTGCAATCCAACACCACAAACCAGGCAAAGCATTCGGCCACGTGGCATCAGCAGAGGAGGGGGCAGCAGGCAGTGAAGGCGAGAGTGTGCCCTCCTCCTTCCACTATGCCAGCCTCGCCTTTCAATCAGACAGCCCAGTCATGGAGCCTTCTTGGAAACTCCCACCTTTTGTTTCTTGGATGCTCAACGAGGCAACATGGCCACTGAAGAACCAGCATGGATGCGGTATGGCATGTACATGAATGGATTGGAGGTTTATGGCATTCGGGTGTCGGTAGGTGGACTAGAGTCCTCATGATGGGCCATGATAAGACTGATCTTCTAATGGTGATTGCATTGGCTTGTGACAACCATCCAACAGTTGCATCAGCCCACGCTGACACTCCCACCGTGTCCCTCCCTGCACACTCCTCCCTGCACACTCCTCCCTGCACACTCCTCCCTTCACGCCCCTCCCTTCACGCCCCTCCCTACACGCCCCTCCCTGCACGCCCTTCCCTGCCCGCCCCTCTTCGCACGCCCATCCCCTCTCCGGCCTGCAGCCGACTCCTCGGCGCACGCGGTGGTGGCGGCGGTGGAAGCGGCCTACAGCATCGCCAGCAACGGGTCGCAGCCCCCCCGGCTGTCGGTGGAGCAGCTGCGGGTGGCCCTGTCGGCCAACTGCGACGACATGCCTCCGCGCGATGTGCTTGTCAGATTTATATGACATAGCTACCGTAGGCTATAGTGGGGTAGCACATATGGGGTACAGTTTTCTAGGGTTTGCTTTTGTACCCAACTTTCCCTTAGTCAATTCATTCCTCATTATTTCACATGGTATAGAGCGGGTTCCCTCGTGGGAACGCTTCCTAGGGCCCACCAATCGAATTTTTTTTTTCCTGCCCGGAGCGCGCTTCGCTCCTGCCCGAGTCGCGCCCCGCGTGCCCTCCCTACCGTCGCGCCCTCTCTAGGCCCCCTACGGCCCCTTCGCGTCGCCCTTAGCGGCCCCTCTGACGGCCCCTCGTGCCGCCATTACGGCCCCTCGCGCCGCCCTTCCGGCCCCTCGCGCAGCCCTTACGGCCCCCTACGGCCCGTAGCCGCCCTTCGCGGCCCCTCGCGTCGCCCTTCACGGCCCGTCGCCGCCCTTCGCGGCCACTCGCGGCCCCTTCACGGCCGGTCGCCGCCCTCCGCGGCCACTCGCGGCCCCTTCACGGCCGGTCGCCGCCCTCCGCGGCCCCTCGCGCCGCCCTTCACGGCCCGTCGCCGCCCTCTGCGGCCACTCCCGGCCCCTTCACGGCCGGTCGCCGCCCTCTGCGGCCCCTCGTGCCGCCCTTCACGGCCCGTCCGCCGCCCTTCGTGGCCTCTCTCGGCCCGCCGTCGCCGCCTCTACAGCAGCAGCAGCTGCAGTCGCTACAGCGACCGCGGCCGCAGTCCCAGCAGCAGCAGCATCCGCCGCCCCTGCAGCAGCACCCGCCGCCACTGCAACCGCGGCCGCCGCCGTCCCTACAGGAGCGGCCGCCGCCGGCCTTGCAGCAGCAACTGCCGCCGCCGCTGCAGCAGCGGCCGCCGCCGTCCTGTGAGCAACAGCCGCCGCTGCCCCTGCAGCAGCCGAGCCGCCCGAGCCACCGAACCGCCCGAGCCGCCCGAGCCGCCCGAGCCACCGAACCGCCCGAGCCGCCCGAGCCGCCCGAGCTGCCCGAGTCGCCCGAGCCGCCGAGCCACCCGAGCCGCCGAGTCGCTGAGCTGCCGACCTGCTGGTGCTGCCGAGCCGCCGAGCCGCCGAGCCGTCCGAGCCGCCCTGTCCTCTACACTCGGTCCGTCTCGCCTGCCCGGTAAGAGCAGCACCTCTACTACTGCGCTGCCCTTAGCCTACTGCTCGTACTGCTAGTCTACTGCGGTCATGGCTACCCCCAGTGTCCTCGCTTTTGACGCTGAGGGTCGGGCCATTGACTTTGACGTCTGGGTAGATGACCTGTAGCTTTTCCTACAGTGCGATAGGGCAGACGGTCTCTCCCTCTTTGATCTCACTTCTAGTGCCTCCCCTGCCCCCGCTGCTGAAGCTGACGCCACTGTTCGCTCACAGTGGGCCACACGCGATGCTGCTGCACGTCTTGCTGTGCGTCGCCACTTGCCTACCTCTGAGCGTGCGCACTTTAGCCAGTACAAGAGTGCTCACACCTTGTACGACGCTGTAGTTGCGCGCTACTCCTCCCCTGCCACTGCTGCACTGAGCCGCCTCATGCTACCGTACCTCTTCCCTGACCTTGCTGCCTTTCCCACAGTCGCTGACCTCATTACGCACCTCCGCACTAGTGACACTCGCTACCGCGCTGCGCTTCCTGCTGAGTTCTGCGCCAAGAACCCCCCCCCCCATGTACATCACCCTCTACTACATAGTCACCCGGCTCCCTGACTCCCTTCGCGTAGTCAGGGACCACTTCCTCTCAGTTTGCCCCACCACTCTCACCGTTGACCTCCTCGAGAAGGCCCTCCTAGCAGCAGAGAAGAGCATAGTCGCTGTAGGAGCCTCTCGTGGTGACCCTCGCACCCCCGTCTTTGAGGGGTGTTCCCCCTCCCCCCTTTTGCCTTCCGTTGCCTCTGCTGCTGCGGCCGACCTCGTTGGTTTCGAGTCGGTCGGCGCTGCGTCTGCCCCGAGCGGGAGACGCCGCACCGGCAAGGGCAAGGGGGGCAAGGGTGCTGGAGGGGCTGGTGGGGGTGGCGGAGGTGGCGGTGGCGGCAGTGGAGGGGGTGGGGGTGGTGGTGGGAGTGGTGGCGGGGGTGGAGGTGTCGGTGGCGGCAGTGGAGGCGGAGGCGGCGGCGGCGGTGGCGGTGGGAGCGGAGGTGGCGGAGGTGGCGGCGGTGGAGGAGGCGGCGGCGGAGGAGGTGGAGCTGGTCGGGGTGGCGCTGCACAGAGGGTCGGCTCCGGTGGTGGTCAGCGCCAGCAGCAGCAGCAGCAGCGGCAGCAGCGCACTCGTGACATCCCCCCCCCCTCAGCAGCTCCGTGAGTAGTACGCTGCACGCCAGCGGGGTGGGGGTACTGGTCCGTGCACCTACGTCCTACGCACCGGCGACCGCGAGGGTGAGCAGTGCGGGGGTGCGCACTCCACCCAGCGCTGCTTTGGCCGCCTGACGGACGCTTGGTGTCACCAGTTCCCTGAGGCCACTGAGATCCCTCGCTGGGGCGAGCTGTCTAGGGCGGGTGTAGCTGTCTTTGACCTTGACTTTGATGCTATTCTTGCTGCCATGTATGCTGTGACTATTAGTGATGAGGGTGACTGTTACCGGTGTTTTCCGCCCGACCCGGGCATTGAGACTGCTGCTCTAGGTGCTCGTGCGTCTGCTCCCTCAGGTGCTGGTGAGTCTGCTCTCTCAGGTACTGCGTCGGCTTCGGCCTCCCACACCTTCACCCTTGACTCGGGGGCTTCTCGCTCCTTCTTTCGAGACCGCACCACACTCACGCCGCTTGGCCGGCCAGTTGCAGTCTCTCTGGCAGACCCCTCTGGGGGTCCTGCCCTTGCTCACTTCTCCACTGTCCTCCCGTGTCCGGCGGCCCCCTCTGGCACCCTGTCTGGTCTTTACCTCCCCTCGTTCTCTACGAACTTGGTGAGTGGTGCTGACCTACAGGATGCGGGGGTTCACCAGTTCACTCCTGCGAGTCAGCGGGTGACCCACTGCACGGACGCTCGGACAGGCCGACACCTGGCCACGTTTACACGTCGGCCGGGGTCGAGCCTGTACACACTGACCACTGCGTCTCCTCCAGTCACTGCGTCTGGTCAGGTAGCTGCGTCGGGTCAGGTGTTTGCTGCAGCGTCCAGGTCTGGTCCTGAGTCTGCCCCCTGTTCGTGTCGCCTTCTGTCTCACGAGACTCTCCTCTGGCACCACCGCCTTGGTCACCCCTCCCTGCTTCGTCTCCGAGGCATGGCCTCCCGTGTCCTTGTCTCTGGTCTTCCCCGGTCCCTCCCTCCCCTTCCTCCGGGGCCTGGCCCTACCTGCGTCCCCTGTGTCGAGGGGCGGCAGCGGGCTGCCCCTCACTCCTCCCAGTTTCCTCCGACAGAGGCCCCGCTGCAGACACTTCACATGGACGTGTGGGGCCCGGCCCGCGTCCGTGGACAGGGTCACGAGCGCTACTTCCTGCTGGTGGTTGACGACTACTCGCGTTACACCACAGTCTTCCCCTTGCGCAGCAAGGGTGATGTCACTGAGGTGTTGATCGACTGGATCCGCGCAGCTCGTCTCCAGCTCAGGCAGAGCTTCGGCTCGGACTTTCCTGTTCTGCGTCTGCACTCTGACAGAGGTGGAGAGTTCTCCTCTGGCCTTCTGCGAGCCTACTGTCGTGCACGAGGCATCCGCCAGACCTTCACGCTTCCGGACTCTCCATAGCAAAATGGGATTGCTGAGCGCCGCATTGGCATGGTCATGGACGTCGCCCGTACGTCCATGATGCATGCGGCTGCCCCCCATTTTCTGTGGCCGTTTGCGGTTCGGTACGCGGCGCATCAGATCAACCTTCACCCCAGGGTCTCCATGCCGGAGACCTCCCCAGCTTTGCTGTGGATGGGGAAGGTTGGCGATGCGTCTGCGTTCCGTGTCTGGGGATCTCGGGCGTTTGTCCGCGACTTGTCTGCGGACAAGCTGTCCCCTCGTGCTGCTCCTTGCGTCTTCCTTGGCTTCCCCCCTGACGCGCCAGGGTGGCAGTTCTACCACCCCACCTCTCGCCGTGTTCTGTCCTCCCAGGACGTCACGTTTGACGAGTCGGTCCCCTACTACCGCCTCTTCCCCTACCGCACTCCGTCCCTCCCCCCGCCACCGCTCTTCCTTGTGCCAGGTCCCCCCCCGGTAGACCCCTTCCCCCCTCAGGGTCCTGCCCCTTCAGGTGTGTCCCAGGTAGACGCAGTCGAGCCTGTCGAGGTTACTGGTGACTCTGGTGCTGCTGAGGGTGCTGAGCCTGGGGGTGCTGACTCTGGGGGTGCTGAGCGTGTGGGTGCTACGCCTGGGGGTGCTGAGCCTGAGGGTGCTCCTACTGGGGGTGCTGAGCCTGGGGGTGCTGAGCCTGGGGGTGCTACTACTGGGGGTGCTGAGCCTGGGGGTGCTGAGCCTGGGGGTGCTACGCCTGGGGGTGCTGAGCCTGGGGGTGCTACGCCTGGAGGTGCTGAGCCTGAGGGAGCTGGGCCTGCTCTTGTGGCGTCTGGCGGTGCTGAGCCTGGAGGTTCTCCGGGTGCTTCGTCTCGACGGGAGCCACTCTCTCCACAGGAGCTGCGCGAGTGGTTTGCCCGGCGCTGGAGACGTGCTGCTGGAGCTGGAGGTTCTTCAGCTGCTGAGGGTACTGGTGCCGCGGGTCCCGGAGGTGCTCGTACTGGGAGTACTGGAGCTGCTGGGCCTGCGGGTACGACTGGAGCTGGAGCTGCTGAGGGTGTTGGCGCTGAGGCTACTGCTGTCAGTCCTGGAGGCGGTCCTGCTGGGGGTGCTACTGGTGCTGCTGGAGGTACTGGAGCTGGAGGTGCTGCTGGCGCTGGTGCTGCCGCTGGGGGTACTGGTGCTGTCCCTGCTGTGTCTGGAGTCGCCGCGCGGCCTCGGCCGTACTTCGTTCCACTCCTTCAGCAGGTTCTTGGTCTCCCGCCTTCTACTGGTCCTCCTCCTCCCTTAGAGTGTCCACAGCCTGTCCCGTCACAGTTACAGTTACAGCCGGCCTCCCCACTGCCCGCTCCTTCTCCCTACACTGGTCCT